TATTTTTTTTTTTTTTTTTTTTTAGAAAAGCTATATGTAATGATTGATGGTGTAGAATCTGATTGTTGTTGGTTTTTTCAGTCTGATCTGTGTTGTCTATCTACATGTAATTTAAGGTTATATATGTCTTATTCTACGCACAGCCCCGGAATGGTGGTTCTGGTTCCAAACAGAATAGCACAGCCTGGCACATGTTGGGCACATACAAGTAAATGTTTTCCATTTCCATGGCTATCATAATGGCATTCAAATTCAAATTCAGTACTTGAATGGGAAAGGAGTTAGTAGCCCCAGATGTTTCCGAACTTACTGCGAATTGGTGATTGTACCTGAACACAAGATAGTGGTTCGCTATTTCTCTAAAGTTAGGTCCTTTAGTCAAGTTCCTTATTGTCATGAGTCACAGTTTGGGAGTGGGGGCAGGATTCTTGCCATTGACTCTCTTATTTTACACAGAACCAGAATGGTTGTTCTAGTTCCAAACAGAATAGCATAGCCCAGCACATGTTGGGCACACACAAGTCAATGTTTTCACTCTCCATGCCTATCATAATGGCTTTCAAACCCAAAGTCAGTACTTTGGAAAGAGAAAACTGATATGCCCTTCCAAAACCAAGGGGGAAAGCAAGAACTGCATTCTCTTGAAAGTTCATTTATAACTTTTTCTTTGTTTCTGTGAAGAAGACTGTACTAATAAAACTGCCAATTTCTTTCAGGTGGGTGTACATGGCATTAGAATAGAATTCATCAATGAAAAAGGATCAAAACGCACCGCCACCTATCTACCGGAGGTTGCAAAGGAGCAAGGTCATTGTTGTACTTTATTTCATATGAGCTGGTGAAGAATTTAAACAAATATACAAATTGCAATGCAATATCTGACCTTGCAGTTATGTCTGATAATTGATCAATGTCAAATTATAAGAAATGACTCTTCCGTCACTGCCACTGCAATGTCTGTATGGAATTGGTTAATTACTCACACAGAAGTTGAATCTCTGTACTAAAAGTTTGACAGCAAAAACACACCAAAGTATACTTTCATAAAAGCAAACATTTGTAAAAGCTGGGTGTTATTTTAGGCAATAGTTTGCTACAAATTCGAAGAACCATTTTCCCATATTCCATTGTACTATAGCCTTGTGTGATATAAACAAGCCTTTGGTTTGACAGCCACACAGTTCATTATCAGTATTAAACATTTCATTCTTAGGGGTTGTCATTACTCATTCTGGTACTACTAAGATTGCAGATTTCCCATTTAAGGTTAGGAGCATTGAGAATACATGAAGTAGTGTTTTATATACTTGGTCTGCACTTCCTAGTCAATAAACTTTTTCTATTTTGCAGATGAAATGTAAATCTTTATGACCCACCACTGTAGCACAAAATAACTTTATACTCTGTAGTATTTTGTCCTTTCTAGCCACTACTAAATTCTAGTTTCAAGTTAGTTGGAATGAATATTTCTTCTTCACATTATGGAGCTGCTTTTCTCATCAGAAAGTATATGTAATTTGGTTTTCCTGTGTTTATCTCATAAATATGTGAGATACATGACAGCAAAATTTAATATCATTAAACCCCCAACAAGAGAGTTAGTCTTTAAGGCAGTTATCTGAAGATTTGTTTCAAAAATGTCTTAATCCTGTAGTTCCATTGACTTCATAAAGCATACATAAGAGATAGAGGGACTTGGATATTAATATACCATCCCATGTCAGAACCAATAAAAATGCCCTTGAATATTGCACCCAAATACACTTGATTGACGACAGAAGATACCTTTAGGAACAGCAATTACCATGAGTTAATGTGGGAGTCCTAAATGCTACTGAGGTGGCACAATGATATTTCTGCTTTTCCCTCCCTTTTAAAGATGTCACTATTAGAGGAGAGTACAGTGCTTGTGGTTTGCTACTGAGACATGACTGAGCAGTTACTGCCAGCCTCTTTGCCTTCGAATGTGGCTGAGATAAAGAAGCCATTGTTGTTAGCCATCATGGATAGCTAGAATTTAAGGTGTGTGGTGGTGAACCTGCTTCTGTACAGGATGAAATCTTAGCTCTTCTGTGTGATTTTTAGGACCAAAGGAGTTGATGGCATTTGGTGAAAGTGATAGCTGACCTCCCTAGAAAGTCATTTTGTATTTAACCAAAGGTACTTCTTACATGTGCTTGACTGTATTTTATCGGGTCTACTCTCCGCAGGATGGGACCATATTCAGACCATAGACTCCTTATTGAGGAAAGGAGGATACAAAGCTCCGATTACTAATGAATTCAGGAAAACCATAAAACTGACCAGGTACAGAAGGCATTTTTCTAGTGCAAGGATAACCAGTACATTTTGATGCATGCGTATGCCTGTAATTCTTTGATTTCTTTGGTCTCTCTAACTGTACTTGCTTCTCTTTTCTGAAACAGAGTGGAAATGAATGGCAGGGCCATACTGAGGATGGATACAATGGAACTATGCTTGGCAGTAAAGCCTGTAAAATGTATGAGCCCATCCTTCCCACCTTTAGCTCTATGTGATTACTCTGGCTTTATACAAGCAAATCCTCTGGGCCTTTAGACTACATTATTGAAGAAAGTTACCTGAATTAGCTATTGGCAAGCTTTTGACGTGGCTTAGCAGAACCCCGGGATTCTGATAAGCAGTCCTCAAATTTGAATTTAACCTTAGAATTTTGGCAGTAATAGAAGTTTCCCATGGAAGCTTGCTGAAAAATACAATAAAGCTAGACTCACAAATGCTAAATAAACTTCTTCATGGGATAATGGGGATACTTATTTTAAAAGGAAAATATCAAAATTTTAGGCAAATGGGTTGTGGTTTCCATTTATTTTAATTCTATAAAACCACATTGAATGCCTAAAATGGACTCTCCTCAGCTCTGAGGAGTTTTGAATTTGAAAATGCCTCCATCTCTGCTCTCCCTGAGTTCACAGTCTAATTGAAGGGCATGTACAAAGACGATTATTAATATAAGGCAGAATGTGATAGATGATGTGAGATCATAAAGTAGGGGAATAGAAATTCCAGGAGGGGTTAGGGGTAAGAAAATTTCAAAGAGGAGGTAGATTTGAAGCTGGACTTTAAAAATAGGTAGAATATTTGACAGGCAGAGAGCAGGGGAGAAAAGAGATTAATTAAAGGGAACTTTGTGAGTCAATACATGTAGGTGGCTTAGTACCGAGCAAGTTCTGAGGAATGTTCAATAGTCCAATTTGGCTGGTCTTTTAGTGTACATATAGAAGGTGGTCATTTGAGGAAAATATGGCAAAGAAGATAGTTTGGGTCAGATCATAAGGGTCTTGAGTTCCAGGCTGAGAAGTTCAGACCTGATTCTATAGGCAATTGGTAGCCATTGAAGGGTTTTAAACTGATGGATTTGGGGAGGTATAAATTAGAATTGGAAGCAGGAAAATTAGTTAGAAGACATTGCTATTATCTAAGAATCTCTGGCAGCAACCCATATGGGGTGAATTGGGAACCTTAACAAGAGCTGTGGCAGTCAGATGGAAGAAAGGAGGGAACAGATAAGAAAATATTGTGAAAAAAAATGAAAGGACTTAGTCATCTTTCAGAAGTAGGAAAGAAGAACAAATCAAGGCTTTACTCCAGATAAAAGGGACCAAGGTGATCCCTTCAACCAAGAGAGGAACCGCAAGAGGAGAGTCAGGTTTATGCATTGATACTGGATTTCCGGTGTTTCCTGGGATATCTGTATATTAACATCCAGTAGGTTACTGAGTCTGCGTGTGTAGAGCTCATGGACAGAGGTGGTGATTAGGGATCATCTGTAAAAAGCACATAGTTGGAGCTATGAGGATAGGGTTCATTGAACAAGAACAGAGCATAGGGTCGAAAGGACTGAAGGTAGAAACATAGGAAAATCCTACAAGGCAGGAGTAGGATGAGTAGTCATAAGGAGCAGTCTGAGAGGCATGGGGATAACCAGGGGAATGTGGAGTTGTAGAACCCATGGCACAAGAGAACTTCAAAAAGGGAGTGCTAAGCAGTACCATAATGGAGGTGTCAAGCAAGAGGAGTGGCCTTCTGAAAGAGCAGTGTCTGTGGAAGAGTGACAGCGGAAGTCAAGATACACTGAGCTGAGGAGTATTGTGAGATGAGAAAATACACATTACTCTTGAGAAGTCTGCCAATGAAAAAGGTAGAGATGAGGGAAAAGGGAATTTGAGATACCAGGATTAAGAAAAGGTTTTCGTTGTTACTGTTTTTACTTAATGGCAAGACTTGAGTAGATGTGTGCAGAGGGGAAAGGAATGGTAAAGAGGGAGCAATGGATGATCCCAGAAAAAAAAAAAAGTAGTCAAGTGAGTGAGTTACATACATGATGGTAACAGGTTGGCTTTTTTCTGTTCCTTACTGTTAGCAAGCTGGGGATCAGAGGGCAATAAAATTTGTAGAACAATTTAAACAAGGAGTAGTAGATTGGAAAGAGCACTGGACTCAGACTCTGGATTCCTGGGCTCTGATCTCAGCTTTGCTAATTATTAGCTGCATGACACTGGGCAAGTCACTGGTCTTCTCTGGGCTTCTGTTTCCTGACCTATAAAATTATCTCCAAAGTCCCTCCTAGTTCTGACACTGTCATGTCACCTATTTCTTGTTAACTTTGTCTCTCCCCTGACTTTCTTTCAGGTACCGCAGTGAAAAGATGACCCTGAGCTATGCTGAATACCTTGCTCATCGCCAGCATCATCATTTCCAAAATGGCATTGGGCATCCCCTTCCACCATACAACCATTATTCCTGACACTGAGCCGCACAACCAGTCACTGGGCCTCTCTGCAGACCTCTTCCCAGGAGACCCTACCCCTTCTTGGTCTAGCTATCTCTTTTACTGTACCATTTTATGATGATAGTTTCCGTTGCCATGGTGAAACTTCGACATAGTCAATTAAGATCATCATGGTAACGGGTAGGAAAATGGCATTTGTTAAGAAGATCTTGTTTTATTATTTTAGTTCACCAATTTTTTTTTGCAGCATATATCATTTTGGGGGATTTCTTTCCTTACAATATTATGTAGAATTTTACTTTGCTATGTCAATCAGATTTCTATCTCTGTCCATCTTGCCTTTCTTTCCTGTCTTCTTTCCTTCATTCTTCTCTTCCTTCCTTTTTTTTTTTTTTTTTTTTTTTTTTNGTCAATTAAGATCATCATGGTAACGGGTAGGAAAATGGCATTTGTTAAGAAGATCTTGTTTTATTATTTTAGTTCACCAATTTTTTTTTGCAGCATATATCATTTTGGGGGATTTCTTTCCTTACAATATTATGTAGAATTTTACTTTGCTATGTCAATCAGATTTCTATCTCTGTCCATCTTGCCTTTCTTTCCTGTCTTCTTTCCTTCATTCTTCTCTTCCTTCCTTTTTTTTTTTTTTTTTTTCTTTTCACTGTGGATGGAAGAAATTGTGCAGTTTTTAAGGATTTTATTTAGATTTTTCTTCAGTTTTCCTCAGTAAGATAGATACTTTTTCATAGCTGAGTTTGAGAGTAATTCATATGAAATTCAGGTATTTGTGTATTACTCTTGAATTTGTCTAAAATTAATTTTGCCATGGAGCTTAGTATGTGGGTCTCCACTGCTTAAGTATATGTTTTTACCATGGTTAAAATATATGAACTTTAGTTCTCATATAAAACATTTGAAGGTCCATGATAGGGCTTGTCACAGAGAGTGAGAAATCATTTATGCCTATTGTGCTGGTTATCATAGGAGAGACTGCCTCATCACTTTATAGAACCAACTTACAAACTAAAACAGTTTTAAGAAAGTACAAACTACCTTTCAAATATGCTATAGGAATCATTTTGAAAAGCAACAAATATCAGGAAGAGAGCAGATATAGATTTTAGTGCCTTTGAGAAGAATATAGTTAAGTGGAATTAAGAGGGATTAGAAAAAAGGCAATTTAGAGAAATATTCTTGTAAAAATTTATTGTTTCTATGTTGTAAAACAACAGATTAGACAAATTCTTTACTCAAGTATTTTTTTAAGCTGAAAGAATTATTTTGAGCAAATAACCAAAAAGAGACATGTGTCTATTATGTATTCATTTAAATTTGTGAGCTTTACTTTTCAATATGTTGTGATTGGCCAGGGACAATTTTAGCTACTGTTTAAAGAAATGGAAAGATACCTAGTGAAACAAAAGTTCATATATGCCATGATTTCAGATGTTTGTAATGGGGACAATACTGGAGTTTTAGAAATACTATAAAATTGCTTGAATCTCTTTCTGCACTACATACTTTTGATAGAAACACATTTACTATGTTGATGCTATGTTACACCTGTAAAAATGGAATTGGCATTTAGATATGATGTAGTTGTTAGAGCCGAGATCATTTGCAGGACTACTCTTGCCATGATACAAAGAGAATTTCCTAATGTCAATAGGAGGTCTGTATGTGTATCCCCAGGAAAAATGACAGAGGATTTTGGAGAAAGATTACCTTCATTTTATGGTAGTAAATATATGTGTGTGTGTGTATATGTGTGTGTGTGTGTATATATATATATATAAATATTTTTTTCAAACAGGAAACCAATATATCAAGTGATGAATTTAAGTATGGTGCAGAATATATAGTTTAAAAGTATGAAATGTCACTGAATATCAAATTGCATAGCTTATACATATAGTTGCTGTGACAAGTGACAGACTGCTAGTTCAGAATTCAAAAACCCTTTTCTAGTTTGTGAGATAATTAGCTAAATTCATTGTGGCAAAGCAAACTGTTTTAGTTTTTGATGAGAGTTCATAGAAGTTTGTTGGTATTCCTTCATCCACAGCATCCGTTGTTGAAACAACCATTTTCAGTTGTGATGCCTTAACTAAGAAGCCAATTGTTGGCTTGAATTGCAATCTCGGTAGCCAGTTCCATTGAACCTAGAGATTAGTCAGACAATGCTAGCTGTTGGGTTTTAGAACAGGGATTTTGAGTCCTTTCATTTCTACTTGGGAGCATTTTGGAGCAGATTAGTCTTTCAGTATAAAAACAAGTGGCTACCTGATGGAAACTTTTTCTTGCCCTTATAGGGAAACTGAGCACAAGCTGAATGATATTGTCTGCTGCAAAAAAATTAAATAAAACAAACTGAGGAGAGACAAAAGCGACCAATATTGATCCATCTTATCCATCATCTCAGTTCCAGGCTCCTCGTCCTGGTTGAGCTCATGGTTAGAAGTTTTTTCTAAAGAAAAGATCTATTACATACATATTTGTATGTATACATATACTTATACATACATACATATGTGTGTTTATCTATTTAACGGTGCTAATCAATCTTGAGCAGGTCACGTGACTGGTCATGCGGACTCTAAAATCATATCAGATTTTTAAAATTCTTGATATATGCAGATATTATACAGATTTTCTTATCAGTGTAATAATGTTATACTGAAGAAATAACCATCCTGCAGGCTTCAGAGGACTCAGTCAGCAATATTTCCCACCATGGCTTGGGGGAAAAGGATAGTTTTGTCTCCTTTTGTATTCAAATTAATGCACAGTGCATTTTTGTCTCTAAGTAGCTGTTGACTAAAAGACTGTGTAGTGTAAAGGGTGTTCTACAAACTGTAATGGCGTGCTTCAAAGAAACAAATGCTAGACCCTTTCACCTTTTGTCATATATTACAAAATGTTAAATATGTGGTTTGAATTAACTTTGAACATGTTGAAATATGTAGCATGTGTTTTGAACTCTGACAAAGATTCTAATTGCACAGGTTGTGTTCTAGCCAGTTGTGGTTTATTTGTTCAGAAACACAAATGTGAATTGCACTCGTCATCAGTATATTGTATAAGTTCAGTGATCTTTAAACAGCTCAGACGTAATACTTGAACTTCATTTGAGTAGCACAAAGTTTACATAGCCCCCTTTTAAATGTTAATTAGTTCCATTTATGTTTTTCATTTTCAAATACAACTGGGTATTTTTCCTCTTGGAAAATAGTACGCATTTTACTTTGGTATGTAGCAAAAGGCTTCCATTTCTGGAAGGGTTTTCTTGTCCTTAGACAAGGTCAGCCAGCCAGGTACCAGATTCTAAAAGAACAATTGTCCCCACCCCCCTCATTAAGTGGCCTTCTGACTGCACGACAATGTGCTACCCTTTCCAGTCTCCCCTACCTTGAGAGGTCAGTGTAATTGATGGAGGAAGTGCAAGGCTTGCTCTTTTCCCCCCAACCCACTTAAAGAATTACAAGATTTTCAGTCCCGTGCATACAGTCCCAATGCCCAGCACACCAGGAGTTTGTATACTGGCCTCTTTTCATGTTTTCAAATGTGCAGGAAATTTGAAACTGTCATCTGGAATAGGTTCCATCTCTTACGTGTGTTAGATCAAACCAAAGAAGCCCCCAGCCATGCCCAAATGCTGCTCCAAAAGCCTGCCTTGCAGTCCTTACAAAAACCTTGCAGGATTCAATGTGTTAACTTTTTTATTTTTGTACAGTTTCTAAGTGATTTTTGCTAGTGATGTTAAATTGAATTTTTATTTGGGGGTGTGAGCACGTCCTCCATTTAAATAAACTGGTGACTTTCCTTTTACTTTTAAAAATGGAAACCTGTTGTGTGCCTCTCAATTTAAGGGTTTCTGATTACATTATTCTTAAGACCAGCATTGATCCTTTATATACAAAGATACATTTTCCTTGTTTTTTATTACTGTTTCAGAAGAAAATAAACCTTTTATTTTGCTCTGGACCCAGTAACTGCGCTGGTACATAGACGCACTGAGAAAACACTTTTGTAACCACCTCTGACCGTTTTTGTATATTAAAGTTGATTACTTTTGAAATATTTGGATCTAGTTTCTAAGTTATTTTAGTGTTTTATATGTTCCCCGAAATCACTTTGAATCGGTCACCAGCATAATGAGTTTTTGGTGATGCCATGGTGAGACTTGTAATGAGCAAAAGCTACCTGGTGTAGCTTTTTTCCTTCTTTCTTAGGAACTTGTTTTTTGATTACAGTTAGACATCACAGATTACCTGAAACCTCTTCAAGTATAACTAGATCCTCCTTCCTTCCACATTTAATTGCTTAATAGTTGGAAGAAACTATTGGAAATGGGCATTTTACATGACATGTATGGCTTTAAAATATTAAAAAGGAGCAAAAAGTAAAATGAGAAGGTTTATGTGGGTCTGTAAGGTATGGCTGTGGAAAGATATTGTAGTAGTTTTGACACTATTGTTATTACTTTAAAATCATTTACCCAATAAAATGTTAAAACTGAGTTACCATTTGTTGTTTATTCTTTACCTGCCTCATAGGATGTTGGTCTCGTAGGTACTTCTTACTAAAACACAGTGGAAGACTTTGAAATAATATACTTTGGAACTGGCACTGATTTCTTTCCAAACTAGCACTTGGAATACCTCACCTGCCTGAAGCTGCTCCCTGCCATATGATTTGCCTTTTTCGTCTTGCCTAGTCCTGAATCCTGGGTTGGTGGGATAGTGTAGTCTTTATTGGACAGTCTACCCTGGTCACAAATCTGAGACAAACATCCAACTTGAATTTCTGGAGCAGCTTAGCTATGCTTATGCCCGCTCAAAATTTCTTTCAAATCAGTGTTTTCTTGGTTGTTTCCCC